TATGTTATTGTTTGTTTGTGTTTGTTGTAAAAAATAAAAAAATTATTAAAAAAAAAAAAACTGACCTTCAGGTCCTTTTCAAAAGGAAAGAGAAAATAGAGAAACCTTTTTTCAGTATTACAAAAAGCTTTAAATCAAGATTAAAGATTCAGGGAGCTGTCAGGTAGCTGAAGTCTGATTTGAATTTCCCCATTCCTAACCAGGCTCTCCATTTGAATCTCAAAACCAAGATGTAAAAGAGGGGCACTGAACTGCATATGTGTTTGTGTTTTTCAATGTTATATAGTATACCTTACATTTTGGTCATGTAGAAAATAGTCTGGCAAGATTTAGACACAAATTCATCTACTGCATTGAATATCCATTATTAGGGCATGTCAAGAAGACCATTTGTGCAGTAGCTATATAACCAAAACCTGTGAAATAACTTGCTGTTTTCCAGCTGCACAGAATTTATCGATCATGTCCCTTCTTGGAGTAAACTGACCTGGCCACTATTATCCGTATCCTGGTTATCTCCCAGACTATGGTAATGAACTGTATGAGGAATGCCCTTAAAAGAAACCCAGAAATTAGTGTAGGTCCAGAATGTAGCAGCCAGACCTCTGTGGGGTGTTTCCCAAAGGGAGCACATGCAAAGTTGCACTGGCATCACATAAATTTCCAGGTTAAATTAAAAGTGTGCACATTAACATATAATACACTGATAACATATAAATCTCTAACAGCTTGCACCTGCCTACCTAAAGCAACAGCTTTACCCCACCCCACCTTCAAAATTAGAGTACCAATAATCTTTGAAGGATTTTTAAAAATCATGTTCATGTGAGAATGTGAATGCCAGTAGGCGCAAATAGGAGTCAAGGTTCTATCTGAAAAATGATTGTCACCAGGTTCTTTAACCTAGACCCTGACATTTGAAAGTCAAATCTATAATTTGCTCAGTAATTTGCCTTGCTATTACCCTAAAGGAGTTTGTAGCATTGACTCTTTTGTCAATGACTGCATTGGGTGATTTCTTTCATTCTCTCCAAAATACATCCATATAAAGTGAAACTTTCAGCAAGTGGGTGTTGACTGAGGTTATTTTTACAATGACATCTGATTTTGATGTGAATTGTGAAGACAATGTCTATCTCTGCTTTTCTCACAGAATAGGCCTTAAATTCAAGTACTGATCATTTACCTGCACTGTATTTCCCTCCTTTGGGCGTTATGAATTTACAAGGAAGTTCTACTGCCTTTGTAAGTGGCAGGACTGGTTAGACAGGATGAGTTTGTGAACATTAATAGTATCCATGTAGGATCAGATACAGTACTAGACGATGGGGAGGGAGGAAATGAGGCTGTTCCTTTTGTAGCAGAAAATGCTACAGCTCCTCTGTGCTATAGGGCAAATTCAATTTGTTGCTACTTACCTCCCAGACATCCCAGAAGATTTCTTCTTGCAGTGGCATGAAGAATAAAGATGCAACGAAGAAAGACCAGAGAAGATGACAACTTAATTACAGAAGAACACGATCTCAAAGAAACCAATTATGGGAGCTTAAGGAAGAATCCTGAGCCAAAAATAAAGGAGTACATTTATGAAACCCTGGCTTTTGGTTCTGACAAGAATGTAAAGTTGTCCAGTTACGAAAGCCTAGGTGGCAGCTCTGAGCAGAACTCAAAGGATGCTAACCAGTCCAAGAGAAAGAATGTAGAGGGTGACAGATACGGGAGGCTATCCATGAGCAACCTTAAGGTCCCACAGGTAGGCAAATTTTGTATTGTATTTTAATTGGTTTTTATTCTTATTTTATTGTAAATGCCCAGAGTCATTCTCTGAGTGTGAGGGTGGTGACTGAATTTGAAATATAAATAAATAAAAATAAATAAATAAATGGCAGATTAATCTATTTTCATTTCTTTTTACAGTAGCTGTTTTTACATAATGGGATTTGGAGGGAAAGTTGAAAATAGGAAATAACAACTGAACAGTACAGCAAGACTTTTTAAAGTGCTACAAAGCATGCCTATATGTATACATATGACATAGAGCCTCTGAAGCAAGGCAGTTTATAAATCAGATAGACATAGACATGCATATGTATTACATATATAGGTAAGATCTTGTAAAGTTGAACCTTTGTAGTTAAGGAAAATCTGATACCCCAAAAGATCACAGACAAATACTCTGAAGTAATTTTAAAGCAAGTTCAAAACATATTGGGGCAATTAGAATCACACATTGAACTGAGATTGTTAATACTGTAGAAAAGAATACTTAGATTCATACCTACAGTGCAATCAATCAATTTTATTTTGGTTGTACACCAACACAGTACCTACAATACAAAAAAAAATCTTTAAAAAGTAGTAACACAGCAAGATCCAGTGAAAATAATGTTTGTATTTGAGTCAGGCTATAACTAGAAACTATAGCATTTCTAGCAAGGTTGTATTTTGGAAACAAGAATTGTAGAAAAGAGTAAAGAGTAAAAGGATGGTTTAGGTTTTGAGAAGAGATGGGGAAAAAATCTTAAAGGCAGAATTGTTAACAAGCCTCATGGGAAGAACTTGCAGAAAATTGGTTGAGTTTCAGAAAAAATTGCCAATTTGAGTTTGTGCTAAAACCTTAGGAATAAAACAAACAGGGAAGAATTCATTGTCTTATAGATTAAGTTGTGTCAAAAACACACCAGTTGCCTGCTTGTTTTGATTCAATTTAAACAATCCTAGCTTCAGAAAAAAGGAGAGAGAAAGAAAGTAGTGGACTGGTCACTTGAGCAGCAAGCTTGAGGGTTCCTTCTGGATGGCTAAAATCCTTCTCCCCAGTGGAAGCCTTTTAATTTCTTCATCAGGAGAGTTTATCGTTGCTGTTTTTTTAGCAACATTCTCATTTCAGGATAGTCCATCAGAGTAGGGCAATAATTTTTAAATAGTCAAAAAGAATTAAAGGAAAAAACTACTTTTCCCCACCTTCTTCCTGGGCTGAAAGGAGGGGAAGCATGAGGAGTTATTTAGTTTAAATGCAGTTTATTCAATTTAATGCAATTTATTCCATTTTAGTCGGTAAGAGGCAGGATCTTTTAGAAAGGCTTTTCTGATGTGACCAGATTTAGAGATATCAGCAAGATAAAACAAGCATTAATTTTGGAATGACAGAGTATTCCAATATTTCATGATTTAAATATCATGATTCATGATGCTGACTTTTTAAAAGCCAACATATATAAGGAAAGTATAGAACTTATGTCTCTTTACATACATACATACAGATAGTCCCTGGGTTAAGAATGCCCAGGATACAGACGACCCATAGTAAACAACAAAGCCTATTGTAGTAAAATTCGAGTTAAATACACAATGGTTTGAGTTAATTACACAATACTACTTATACAGTATTATACAATAATACTGTTCCAGCTAACATACAAATTCAACTTAAGCATAGACCTAACTCGTTGTTAAACTGGGGA